GCTTTTAAATTGCTTAATTCAGATTTCACCACGTAGTTTTCTATTTTCAACGCATTATTTTCTGTTTCAAAAAGTTTCGCATTTTTCCAGAGATTGTACTATAAATTTATATTAATATTAGGAAATTATTATTTTTTTTTTGTAGGTAAAAGTTTGATGCTTACTTTTTCGAAAATCAAGTTGTTAGTTACTTCGATTAGGTCAATAGTGAAAAGGACAAATTAGTTCCTCTTTGGATTAGTCAAACTAGCGTAGAAATTTTAATGGACAATGATTATTTAGTTAAATTTAAAATTTATCCTCGAAATGGACACTGGTTAGGTAAACAGGGAATTCATGATTTGAGGGAATATTTACAAGAGAAGCTCTATCAATATGACTCTATCAAAAATGAGATTGTTCTCCAAAACAAGATAAATTTAAAAGCTAATAAGTTAACTGCAAAAGGCACAATATTAGAAACCAAGCCAAGATATGAAAAACTATAAAAGAATAACTTGATAGGTAAAAAACCAAACATGTAAATGAAAAGGATACATGAAAACACGTATTAAAGGGTGCTGTTGTTTCACTCAAAAAATATTAAAACAAGCTATTTATTTTCATAAAAAGCAAGATAAACGATTACAGTTCAAATAAATAGTCGAACCTACTGTAATACAATATGCTCTTCTTGTTAGTTGACTTAATTTAAATAATTAAAAACTCAATCTACTATTTTTTCAGAATTCTTTTTTTTTGATAGCAATCTTTTATTAATACTTTTTCTTCTTGTAACTCTTTTTGTCTAATAATAATTACTAACTTAGGATTATAGACTTAAAAAGTTTTTGGTTTTTTTTAGCTTTAAATTACAAACAATTTTATATCTAGCGCTTAACTTGGTTCTCCATAACAATACTCATTTATAAGCTAAATTGTCTAACATTAAAAAGAGAAGGTCGGGATTAGCAGGTAATGTTTTTTGTATAGACATTAAAAAATCTGCTAAATGGTCCACTCCAAGAGCAAATCCAGCAGCTGGCAAGTCGACGTTACCTAACTGTTTAAAAAGTTGATTATATCTACCTCCTCCTAAAATAGTTGCTTTATTTTCATTCTCTTTCAATAAAAGTTCAAACACAATACCAATATAATAGTTTAGTTTTCGAACTAAATTTTCATTATAGTTATTCCTAATTTCTAAAACATTTAATAAATAAGTTAGCATTTGTAAACAAGTTAGCTCACTTTCTTTTAATACTCTTTTGTAAGAAGAAAGATTTCCTTTTTGGACAGAATGCGTTTTCTCTCCATAGCGATAGCTAATGAATTACTTTTGGCTTTAAAAGAAGAATTGATTGAAGAGTTGATTATTGTTTCTGGATATATTAGAGGCAATACAATATTAGACCCGAACATCCCTAATTGTAGTACTTGTAGTATGCCTAACAATCCATTGAATATCTATTTTCATATTAAATCCAATAGATATTCACTGAATTTAATATGAAAATGGAATCCAATAGATTTCGGGTCACATCACTAAGTATATATTCTGTATATCTATGTAGTACTGTATCGATAATATACGTCCCTACTACGGCATTACGGCATTCGTTACCTGTTTCGACATACGTCACTTGCTATGGCATTATGGCAAATGTCGCCGTCAATTACCGTGATGTTTGATGTGAGGTAACCTGTGAAATGTCTGCAGCCTTAGTATAAACATATTATTATAAATCAATGGAATCAGATATTTTTTCTACTTTGTATTATTGATAGAACAAGCCTATATTAATACCAATATTGTCAATTTTTTGTTCTATTCATAAAATTATATTCTATTCTAAATTCTATTGTATTTATATTTTTTGCTGTACTAAATACCAATTACAATCTAGTTGTCAATTTTTTGTTCTATTGATAACATTTTTATTCTACTCTAAGGGAGCTTCCACTTATTACGTAAATATAGTGGTTATGTAGATTAGGGTTTGGGTATGTTTATGTTTTGATTTGACCAGAGTTCTAAGGTTCAATAATCACAATTAGGGATGCATCGGTCCTGCAAAAGACCTCCAAGAGGTGCTAGCTTAGTAGCGATTTTCTCTAAATAGGACTTGAAGATAGGTTTAAAGTAACTTTTTCAAAATAGAATGTCTCGCTACAGCACACCAATAAAAATCTCCAAAGCTATTTGTAACCTTAGAGCACTTGTTAATGTTCGCTATGCAAAAAAGATCTACTTCTGACGACCTTTATTAAGGTAAAATATAATAAAATATATCACCGTTATGTTATATTTGTTTAACTTGAATAGGTACAGTACGTACAAGTTTATTTAGTAGTAAAATATCTGGGTTTAAGGTTAAGTTTCTAGTATGTTTTAGATTGTTATCTGTTAATTTTTTGGTTTATATCGTGTATTGTATTCTTCAATGATTTTGGGTTTATTAATAATTAATCTCACATTTGTCTCATTATACGTATAACCTATCTATTCTCTAAATTTATATGATAAATTCTTTTGCGTATATTTATTAGTTTGTAACTTCTTTGGTTAGATCATCCAAATTAGCCCAGCGGATGCTGAGATATCACTTGGCCAACTATAATCTTCTAATGTCTACCCAGAAGAGAGAAGCAGGACGCACTTTGATGCACACGATAATGTAAAAATTTAAAATATCAATACTAATCAAGCATGCCTTATGGCAGCTCTATTAAATATGGTGAACCCCCAAAAAAGAAATGATAGATTGTTCATTTTATTTGTTTGTTTAATGTTCTCCCTTCCCCTCTCTAGAGTGTCCTAAAAAGCGAAGAATTAACTCTACATCAAAGACCTCTGCGATTCTATGGTTTAAAAGCTAATTGTTTAAACAATTTTGTTTGGTTTATAAATTGCACAGGCAATCCTTTCAGGGTATCTTTAATATTGTCTTTATTGTCTTTGCTTATTTGTCTTTATCATCTTTGCTTATTTTGTATTTTTTTACCAATAAAGAACCAATAAAAATAAAGCAGCGTATAGAAAACCCATAATAAGCCTATAATAAAAATATGTAATGCCAATTCTGGATTCGAATGGATTGAAATAATTGCGGAATAATAATATAGACAGAAAGAAAACTATAAAACTAAGATTTATTAAAAAGCGAAGAATTAGTCCTGCATCAAAGACCTCTGTGATTCTATGGGTTTAAAACTAATTGTTTAAACGATGTCGTTTGGGTTTATAAATTGTACAGGCAGTCCTTTTAGGGTATCTTTAATATTGTCTTTATCTTCTTTGCTTATTTTATATTTTCTACCAATAAAGAACAAATAGAAATAAAGCAGTGTATAGAAAACCCATAATAAGCCTATAATAAAAATATGTAATGCTAATTCTGGACTCGAATGGATTAAAATAATTGCAAGAATAATAACATAGACAGAAAGAAAAACTATAAAACTAAGATTTACTAAGTTGTAATTTCTAATCTTTTTTTTCTTATCTTTCATAACCTTTATATAGTGCAATGTTTGATTAC